TCTCCAACTATGATTACATTTATGGATATGATTGATTGTTTAGGGTGTATAATCACAATTTGTCGTTGAGATTTTAGATTTTTTTTTTTATAGAATCAGATTGGTTAATGGCTTAAATTATAGATTTTAAGTTAAAATGGCCATTTTAATATCCTAAATAATAAATTATGTTGAGATCCAAGTCGAACAAAATTGATAAAATTGAGTATAAGTGAGATTTCATTGACATTTCAAGAACGTACATATCCTGCAAAGAAAAACCATATGAAATCATGCATGCCAGCCTATGTCCAATGGCTAATCATAATCACAACAGGTGATGAACCCTAGTCTGTATGTGTAAGTGAGCTCGTATGGCTCAAGTCCCACGATGTTTCCAGGATGGTCGTAATTGCAAAGTAACAAAACTCCACCCACTGTTACACTGGACCCTCCCACACCCAAGATAAACCCAAGTGTCCCAATCACAAAGTTTTGGACTCGTAGTTATATAATTGGGCTTTTCTTCGGCTCGAGCAATGCTCTATTGGGCCCTTCTGAATGTACCAAATTGCAATTTTCAGCCGGGCAAAGCCCATGAACCGAAATGCCATTGCCCCAATTTTTGCACATCATTTAATAATTTTCTTGCTTAAATTGCCAAACAATGGAAATATCAATTTTTCTTTTTCAATTCTTGACTTTTAACCAAATCCCAAGTTATTTTCCTCCATCCAAACGGAGGGTTAAGGAAAAATAATTCTTGCTACAAGAATCTCTCTCTCTCTCTCTCTCTCTCTCTCATTTGTGTACCGTGTCCTATGAAAGTCATGGTTTTTGGGGTTTTTATCACAAAAAAAGGTATTGGAAAAAAAAAAACCGAAAATTGCTCCTTAAAGAAATAAAAAATATTATGACAAAATAAAACCAGAAATAAAAATAGATATTTATAAAAATACCCAATCCTAGACATGTATTTATAAAAATACCCAAGCACTATTTAAACATAGAAACATACCCAAAATGGGCTTTGGGTATGTGTGTAATGATGGGTTTTGGGTATGTTTATAAATGGATTTTGAGTGTGTGTAATGATGAGTTTTGGGTGTTGGGTATTTTTATAATTTCAGCCCCCATTTTGGGTATTTTAGTGAAACTCCCAAATAAAAATTGAGACCAGCAAATTAACTAATAGACTTGGAGGAAAATGGTTGGTCGGTTCAGAGTCAGAAAATTACGAATAAGGATCTTGTCCACACCTCTTAAAATTACGAGTTAGTTAATATGGTCAAGTCTATTTGAGTTTTGGGAAGAGAAGTATCCCTTGTCCAAGATCAAGAGTTAGTTAGTATTAATTAAAGCGAGGTTGATGAAAATTAAATAAATAAAGAGAATGACATAAAAACTTACAAAAAATGAAATAATTTATACGTTTTTATATATATATATGTTATCTCCTCTCACAATCAACAGTCACGTAAAAGAATGTTGTGAGAATGAAGAGGTATATTTGTATACACCCGTTACATGTAAATCGCCTCTCATCCCCTCGTATTCCTCTAATTTCTCAACAACAAAAATACAAGACCTCCAAACAGGCCTAGTCGAGGTGTGCACGTATGTTTGTGTGGCATGTAAATTTAGTGTCTAGTAGGGATGGTCCTCCTCATTATAAGCAGGATCATAGTTGCAGATGACATAGTTTTGTCCATTCTTGCACTTTGAAATGCCACAACCAACTTCGGTGGTTTTGCCCCAAATCACACAAAGGTAATGTCCGCATTCGTCTCGGACACATTTGTTTAGCTCGTAGTTATAAAACTGCTTCTCATTGACCCAATACTTGGTGGCAGCTGCTCCAGACATGCCTTCTCCTGAGGCCAAGTTCTCACCATAAGGCCCCATTGAGTGCTCCATGGCGCAGTCATCAACTCTATTGTCTGCATAGTCTTGGGCATACTTGGCTAGGGTCTCGTTCCATTTGAGTGGACCGTTGCCAACCTCAACGCGGGCCTTGTTGTGTTCCTCCACGAAGCCATCGATATCTTCTTTGGAAAGGTTTGCAGAGACAAGAGTGAAGAACAACGCGACGGAGCAGATGGCCAGAAGAAGCTTGATGTTGAACGCCATTTTGTTTCTCGGTATGAGAAAGTCTCGGATGTTATTGTATTAAAGAATGTTGAATTGATAGAGGTTGATTGAAAGGGGAAATGAGATTGTGCGTATTTATATAGTTGGGAGGGTTAAATATAGGATCCTTGAAAATGGGAGGATTTCTCAAGTTCTATAAATAAATCTATAGAAACAATGTATTGTTAGACAATCAATCTATACCATTGATTAAGTAGGTTTTATTTGAAACCTATATTACAATATATAATCATTACTTAGGTGAGGATTTTTAGCTGCAATGACAAACATTTAGCCTTGCAATGAGGATCAAAGTATAAATAAAGTATTCGTTACTTCAGAATGATATAACTTGTAATATGGCCCCTCTGTCAACTTCTTGTGGCTTTTAAAAATAAAAGGTAAATGCATTATGCTTCTTACCAAAATACAAAGAAATGAAGGAGGAAGCAAATTAATTAGAAAAAAAGGTCACCTTTTGTTCATGTAGTTTGACTAAATTTCCACTTTTGTTCCTGTAATTTTAATTCTAGCAATTTGACCCATATGTAGTTTGATAAACACGCGTCTCTTACATAGAGGAGTATTTTGTACCGAATTTTCAATGAAATTCGCTGGAAATTTAGATGGATCCTTGAATTACGATAAAATCAAACTACAAGGGTTAAATTGAAAAAATTAAAACTACATGGACCAAAATAAAAAAAAAAATTCGGCAAACTACAGAAACCACAAAAGACTTTTTTTCCCAATTAAATATGGATATAGAGGAAAACTTTTGAAGGGTTTTGCCTCTCTTGGTATTGCAACAACTTTGGGCTCTCATCTGCCCGAGTTGCCCCACATCAGATTGGCATTGTTTGGCCCATGAAAACTCTTACTAGTTTTCTTGGTTTTCAGGCCCATTGTAGCAAAAAGGAAATACGTATGGTTGTTTAGCCTTATGTTTCTTACCAAACTAATGGATAATCAGCCCTTTATTAAAATTTTGGATAAACCAATTACAATTATGTCTAGTTGTATTTTTCTTTTCAATATTAAAAACAAAAAAGTGTCAAATTCGAATCTTCCCATCCCTCACTTAAAGATTAAAAAAAACACATAGACATAATTGGTGAAATATAATTACAACGAAAACATTCAAATTTTCAAAATCTATAATGACATAAGAAATCCAAGTTCCTACCTCTAATCACTGCAACCACAATCGGGTTTTAATCCAAAAATTCTTTGAGATCTTGAATAAAGTTAGGTGACATCTCAACCTTTACAACAAGTGTTCTATTCTACTTTAGCTTTCCAATGATATGAAGTTCTAATCTTCCTTGAAATGGTATAAGATGTCATATAAGATTTGTTATATTTATAATTGAATGGGCTAAATTTACCTTACGTGAAAAGATTATGTATAAAAGAGTACTTTGAATAAGCTCTGATGGTTTGTATTAGAAATTTTGGGCTAAGAAAAAACACCACACCTGGGCTATAGCCCAAGTTAGTCCTTACTAAGGACCATCCTTGGTTGTTGTACAACCCACAATCAAATTGGTTTAAAAATCTCAATTCAACAAATCTCATATATACATAAAGAAACCGTGCATGCAATCACATGTATCCATGAATAATAAAATTTTAGGTCACGTTTGGTATCTTATTTAAGTATGGAATTCACAAACTTTGATTTTTATTTTAATTTTTAAAACAAAGAGTTCTAAAAGCCATTTTTTAAGATTCAGAAACTTGTTTGGTATTCAATGAGGGAACTCAAACTTTAAAAACAAGGAGTTCTAAAATCCATGTTTGAAGATTAAAAAACTTGATTGGTCTGCAACTTGAAAATAGTTCCTTTGAAAAAAATTCTATAAAACAGATTTGTTAGGGCTCGTTCGGTAACATTTTCAGAGAATGTTTTATGAGAATGAAAACGAGAAAACTAATTTACATTTTCAGGATTCGAAAATGCTTCTTGTAGATTAATTGGAAAACAGATTCATAAAATAAAAATAGTGAAAAAGTGTCTGGTAGGACAATTTGAGAATAATAATTTATGAGTTATTTTTCAAGTATATTTTTTGCTAATTTCTGTCCCAAAAAATATATATTTTTTTAAAAAATTATGATATTTTAAAGGCTAAAATTATTACAAATAATGAAAAATGTATACTTTGAGAATAATAATGTATAATTAAAATAAAAATAAAAATTCTAATTTTAGAAAAACCTAGATAATAAAATAATATTATCTTTCGTTTAAAATAAATATGAAATTGAATAATATATGATGATTTTATCATAAAATTAATATACACTGGTGCAGCAAAATAAAATAATGAAGTGGAACGAAAAAACTGAAAATTGAAAAAAAAGAAAAAAGAAAAGAAAAGAAGAAAAATCAGACCAACCAAAAAAAAAAAAGAAAAAAGAAAAGAAGAACAAGAACAAGAAAGCAATCATACCAATACATTGGGTAGAAAATGAAAATAATAATTTGGTGTTTTCAGTTTTTGTACATGAGGTTGAATTTGTTTTCAGAAAATAATTCAAGTGAAAATGAAAACAACATACCGAACGCGTTGTTGATAGAAAATGAAAACGGGGCCTTGAAAACGTTAACGAACGGCCCCTTATATTTTCAAGTATTTGGGTGTTTTTGAGTTTAGGTTTTCAAAACTAGGTCTACCAAACAAATTTTTTGAGTTTTGGACTCAAATATATATTTTTAAAGTTTCGAAAGTTGGATTCAAATAGAATACCAAACATGCACTTCACATCCTTTGCATATTCCATTTTTCAATTAAAGACAAATGCGAGATGGAAAGGCATTAGACGAGAGAGATTCATAAAATAAAATATAAAAAGAAAAAAAGAAAAAAAGAGAGAATGAGATAGTATTTCATTTAGAAATTTCAAAAATGAAATAATCTTATTCTTTTTCATTTTTTAATCATTCTCTTGTCACCTCTCACAATACCATATCAAGTGCTAGTCAGAATAAAGAAATGTTGTGAGTGTGGGGAAGTATTTGTATACACCCGTTACATTTTATTTTTCTAATTTCACCAAAAGAAAAAAAAAACATGGGACCTCTCAACAGGCCTAGTGTAGGTGTGGGTGCGCGCACGTGAGCGTACATACATCATCTAGTAGGGGTGCTCGTCCTCGGGCTGGTACATGGGATCGTAGCTGCAAACGACGTAGTTCTGTCCATTCCTGCACTTTGAAATGCCACATCCAACCTCGGTGGTTCTGCCCCAAACCACAGCAAGGTAGTGACCACATTCATCTCTGACGCATTTGTTGGACTCGTAGTCATAGAACTCCTTCTCGGTGACCCAATACTTAGTGGCATCTGCGCCACTCATGCCGTCGCCGGAGGCCAAGTTCTCACCCCAACGCCCCATCGAGTGCTCCATGGCACAGTCGTCAACTCTTTTCTCGGCATATTCTTGGGCATACTCTGCCAAGGTCGTGTTCCACTTGACAGGTTTGTTGCCAACCTCTTCACGAGCCTTGTTGTGCTCCTCGACAAAGCCATCGATCTCTTCTTGGGAAATGTTTGCAAAGACAACAGTGAAGACCAATGCGACGCAACAGATGGCCAAAAGAAGCTTCATGTTGAACGCTATTTTTGTTTCTTGATATGATAAGTTTAAGGTTTTTCCTTTGTAGTATAGAAGGTTGTATTGTTAGTTGTTGATTGAAAGGGGACATGGGATTGTGCATATATATAGAAAGATAGGCAAGTTTGTGTCCGCAAAGAGGGTGTTCGAAAATAGGCCCTTAAAAATGGGAGTGTTGAATATTATTTTTAGTAAATTTTGTTTTTCCCCTTCAAACTATTTTTGTCATACCTACAATCCATCATTTTATTTTTCTACAAATAAAACCTAATTTTTATAAGAAAAATCCAATGATTAGGATCCAACTCAACTAGTTACCTAATCAAGTTAAAAATGGGATTTATTATACTTTTTAGATTCCAAAAATACCCATAATTATCCCTTTATCTATTCAAGGCAGTATTAGAAGTGCTAAATGTTATACATGTCTCCATTAATTGAGGTTATTTACTACCTCAATTGATTTTTTTTTTCTTGGTTTGTTTATAATTTCTATCAACTTTCCTCCTTTTCATTTTAGTGCTGCTAAACGAACCCAAAAATTAACTGAGTACACTCTACTACCCAACTATTTATTAAATTACTAATTGACCCTAATAAAAAATGATTAAAAAAGATATATTGTATTGTGATGCGAATGTAATTTTAATAAGTGCACCCTACTCACCATTTCCAACCCTAATCGAATGTAAGCGAAAGCCACCAATGGTTAAAGAGGTGTTCGTCCAAAAGCTACCAAAGTGTTAAAGAGGTGATTTGGCAGGAGGTTGCTTTGAAAATGTTATTAGGAAAAAGAATATAAATAATCTGTTAAAATAAGTAAACATTTAAAAAGTGGGAAAGGTATCCTAATCTATATTTAAAAAGATCATAGGATGTACTCAGTTAATTTTAGGGTTCGTTTAACAACACTTTTTTTTATTTTATTGAGTCAACCTCGTGATATGCCTCATATACATTTTAGAAGTGTGGCTATACTGTTAAAATTTCTATTTATAGGCTATTAGGTAAATTATTATTATATATATGTATAATGTCTATATTACTTAATATTAGGACCTATCTTTTTAATGAGCATGTGTCAATTGGTTTTTTTAATTTTTAATTTTATTTTAGAGTTTAAAAAGATAATGGGTAGTTGTGTTCCATAGAAATAGGACTCATTATTTGATTTTGTTTTTAATTTTAATTATTTTTTAATATGAAATAGTGTGAATTTACCATATTATCCTCATTTAATTAATAATTTCAATGAATTTTTGTAGAAATGTCACTTGAACTTATATTGCAGTTTCAATTTGTCACCTTAAAGAAAAAATTAAGAGAAATGTCACCTTAATTTTTCAAAATCCATGATTTGTCTTGACTTTAACACCATCCAATTTTCCATCCATTTTTAAGAGTATTTTAGTCTTTCAATTTTCAAGGGTATTTTAAAACTAGAAAAATCATTATAAAAAGAATTGTATATCCTTTAAAAAATTAAAATTGGAAAGAAAAAAAAATCTTACCTTCCCCTATCCCATGTGCCACTCGCGACTCCAATCAACCCAGCCCACCTTGAAATCCATTCCCTCTTCCCTCTTTACAACCCCTTCCTCCATTCCTCATTCCCTCAACCCACCCAAACCAAGCCCAACCCAAAGTATCTGAAAATTTAAGACAAGCTCAATACATGGAAAGAAAAAAAAATCTTACCTTCCCCTATCCCATGTGCGCCACTCGCGACTCCAATCAACCCAGCCCACCTTGAAATCCATTCCCTCCTCCCTCTTTACAACCCCTTCCTCCATTCCTCATTCCCTCAACCCACCCAAACCAAGCCCAACCCAAAGGATCTGAAAATTTAAGACAAGCTCAATACATGCTCTGAGAGAGAGAGAGAGAGAGAGAGAGAGAAGAAGAAGAAGAAGAAGAAGAGGGGGGAGGGGGTCCTGTGCAATGTGTTTTGGAGGTGGGTGGGGTTGAGGTGGCGGAGAAAGGAAGAGATATGTTTCTTTTTTCTCTCTTTTTTTCCTTGCAAATGGAAAGACTAAAATACCATTTAAAATGGATAGAAAATTGGATGGTGTTGAAGTCAGATGACAAATCCTGGATTTTGAAAAATTAAAATGACATTTCTCTTAAATTTTTCTTTAAAGTGACAAATTGAAAATGCGGTATAAGTTGAGGTGATATTTCTACAAAAATTCATAATTTCAATTCTTAATGTTTGTATTAACCAATGACATTTTTTGGTATTTTGAATGTTTCACCATTCTCTGTCTTTTGTTTTATATATATAGATGTACTTATTTTTAAATTTTTTAAAATGTGCCTACTTTTTAAAATAAATGATTTACCTATTTTCTTTATAAATAATGCGCCTATTTTTAATGTGCGTGTTTTTTTTATTGTAAATAAGTAATTTCCTTTTTCTTTATAAATAATATACCTAATTTTTTTTTGTAAATAAGTAATGTACCTTTTTTATGTAATGCACCTCTTTATAATTTTATAAAAAGTGTACCTGTACGTACCTTTTTTTTGTTTTTGTTTTTTATTCAACTTCCTTCATGGTATCAGAGCAAGGCTTCACGTGTTGGGCCCAACGGCCACATGCGCTCCCATGTCACCTAATATATGTTTACCATGTGTTAGGCTTGGAAGTTCGCCATGCGAGCGGGGCATGTTGAGAGTGTTTGTCCCACATTGTAAAGTGAAGAGACCTAGCCTGGGTTTATAAGGAGTTAGGCTATTCTCCCATTGCCAAATGGTTTTGGGTTGGAATCTCAACTTCCTTCATGTTGTGATGGGCAGATGTTGGAGTTGGGTAGGAGTTAGCTGCTGGGTTTTTTCTTTCTTTTTTTTTTTTTTAAAATTCTCATTTTTATAAATTTTATTTGAAATAATAGTGGGCTACCATATTTTAGGAATAATGGTGGGTGAAAAGATAGGATTGTGTTTTTTCAAATTTACATGGTGAGAGGGAAGATGAGGTGGGTGGGGAATAGTGTGAGAATGTGAAGGTAAAAAGTCTGACATTGGACAGTTAGAAAACCTTGCAATGGCTTGTAAGGAGTTGGGTTACTGCCCCCATTTTCAATTAGTTTTGGGGTGGAACCTCAACTTCCTTCATGGTATCAGAGCAGGTTGCCCACGTGTAAAAGCCCAACAGCCACACGTGCTCCATGTCAACCAAAATGTGTTGTCCACGTGTTAGGCTTGAAAATTCGCCACACGAGAGGGGGCGTATGAGAATTTAAGGGTAAAAAGTCCCACATGGGAAAGTTAGAAAACCTTGCAAAGGCTTATAAAGATTTGGATTACTCGCCCCATTGCAAATTGATTTTAGGGTGGAATCTCAACTTCCTTTAAATAGGGCAGGGAGGCGGAAATAGCAGCACTCAAAAGGAAATATACACGGTTATTTAGCCTTAAGTTTCTTACCAAAGTAATAGATAATTAGTCCTTTATTAAAATTTTGGATCAACCAATTAGATTTTTGTCTAGTTGTATTTTTCTTTTCAATGTAAAAACTTTCAAATTTGAATCTTTCCTCATTTAAAGATGAAAAAAAATTAAAATTAGACATATTTGGTGACCAAGGGTTTTAATTTAAAAAAAAAAAATGAAAGAATGAGGTAATGAGATAATATTTCAGAAAGAGAGAGTTGACCAAAAAAAACATAAAGAGAATGAGATAATATTTCGGTTAGAATTTACAAAAATGAAATAACATTATTCTTTTTCAGTTTTTTATTCATTCTCTTGTAATCTCTCACAATACCATGTCAAATGCTAATCATGTAAAGGAATGTTGTGAGTGTGGGAAAGTATTCGTATACACCCGTTACATTTTATTTTTCTAATTTTGCAAAAGAAAAAAAACACTGGACCTCTCAACAGGCCTCGTGTAGGTGTGCGTGTGCGCACGCAAGCATACATACATTGTCTAGTAGGGGCGCTCGTCCTCGGGTTGATACATGGGATCGTAGCTGCAAACCACGTAGTTCACCCCATTTTTGCACTTTGAAATGCCACATCCGACCTCGGTGGTTTTGCCCCAGACCACAGCAAGGTAGTGACCACATTCGTCTTTGACGCATTTGTTGGACTTGTAGTCATAGAACTCTTTCTCGGTGAGCCAATACTTAGTGGCAGCTGCGCCGGTCATGCTGTGGCCGGATGTCAAGTTCTCACCCCAACGCCCCCTTGAGTGCTCCATGGCGCAGTCGTCAATTCTTTTGTTGGCATATTCTTGAGCATACTGGGCCAAGGTCGTGTTCCACTTAAGGGGTTTGTTGCCGACCTCTTTACGAGCCTTGTTGTGCTCTTCGATGAAGCCATCGATCTCTGCTTTGGAAATGTTTGCAGAGACAAGGGTGAAGACCAATGCGACGCAGCAGATGGCCAAAAGAAGCTTCGTGTTGAACGCCATTTTTTTTTTCTTGATATGAGAAGTTTAAGGTCAGCAGAGAAGGTTGGATTGTTATCTGTTGATTGAAATGGGAAATGAGATTGTGCATATTTATATAGTTGGGAGGGTTAAATATAGGATCCTTAAAAATGGGACGGTTTCTTAAGTTCTATAAACAGGTATGAAGAACAAATAAAACTTGTGTGGGATTGCGTCACCGTCTCATCAGAGTGGATTTGGGATCCATACAAACATTGTATTGTCAGACAATCAATCTATACCATTGATTAGGTGAAGTTTTATTTGAATCCTATATTACAGTATATAATCAGGTGAGGATTTTTAGCTGCATTGACAAGCAATTAGCCTTACACTTATGATCAAAGTTTTGACTCTCGTCTTCTCTATCAACTTCTTGTGGCTTTTAATAATAAATTTTCAGTGCATTATACTTCTTACCAAAATATAAAGAAATGAAAGAGGAAGCAAATTAATTATGCAAAACTCACTTTTCATCTAGTTTGATGAAATTTCCACGTTTGTCCCTATAGTTTCAATTCTAGCAATTTGACCTTTGTAGTTTATATGTATGAGATTAATATTAAAAAAATTACTAGGTATGAGATTACGATTTCAGTTTTTTTAAATTGTTTTTTGTCACTGACAGTCACAGC